ACTGCCTCGGAAACCCAAGGAGGGGTCGCTATGAGTCGGGGCCGACTCGACGGCACATAACAACAACATAACAATTTAATATTCTACTTTTGGAAATCATTCTTCTGTGAGTCTTCCTGTGATACTTTTTGCCTCTTTATCTGTTTCTTTTTCTCCCTCACAACACAATCACACACTCCACACTCACAGAGTGTAACTACAACAAACAAGACAAACAATTAACCCTACCACAAAATTACAACTATTTCACCAACCTTATAAAGTAGTGGCAATTTCCCTAATTTCAAGAGTGCAATCTGATTTGTTGCATTTTTCATTTTCTTAATCCTTTTTAAATCATCTGCAGTTCCATAGCTCACATCAATGACTTCAGCCTGAAAAAGACAGAACAATATAACCTTATAGGGGAAATTATAGCTTTTTGCAGATTTCTGTGGGGAAAAAAAAAAGTGCTTAGAATAATTTGAAATGTTCCAAAGACAAAGAATTTTGTTTCTGCCAGTACCAATCACAACTATCATGACCTTTTCATTTTTATCAGCTACCAGAATTCTTACTGTCATTTGGGGAAAAGTTTTAGTCATCTTTGCTTTACCCTCTTCATTATATATAAATTATCAGCTCCAGTTTATTCCTCTAATACATCCCCATATTAGATATTTCCTATACCTATGTTTCTGGAATTTGAATCATTGTATACGGCACTGCAAGATTAAATTCCTTAAAGTTCAACAATAATGATATGGTTTTCAGGCTTGAAGAAAACATAAAATCCTCTTTTAATATACAAATTAATTTTTAAACCTCTGCTACTGGCACCATCATCATGTAAAATACAGCTGCTCTGGTTGTACATTTATCAGCCTGTGGATGATAACCCTGGGTTGTACAAGGAACAACCTGTACAACCTCATGTGCTGATCTGGCATTCAAGGACTTTAGAATATGGCCCCAAACTACTATTTCCTACTACTTTGGAAGGTCAAGAGGCCCCCTGATGAAAATTGCAGCACTTAACTAACTTAGAAGCCATGATTAAAACAGACATTTATTATAATGACTAACTTGCTATTTTTCCCTTCTTTCTTCCTTTTTAGTAAATAGAATAGCCAAACTCTTCATGGATTTCATGGCTGCTTTTTTTTTTTTTTTTGAGTATGACTTTATCCTATGGTGAGTTTCAACCAAGAACTGTGGTTTATGGGGCAAAATGGCCCTGAAAAGAGAAACATCAAGTCTGGAACAACTGAGATAAAGAAGAACAAAGACATTCCTGGTTGTCCCAGAGATCTTCCACCCCTTCTCATCTCCCTATATAATCTTACCTCTTTGTTTGGAGAGACAGACGTTTTAGAGAAGTGATTCTGTCTGTCTCCCTGGGTATCGATAATAAATCTTTTGCTTTTCCACTTCAACCTGTTGTGGTGATTGGCTGTACTCATGACAGGTGGTAAGACCCTCTTTGTTTTAGCATCACTACCATCTATAGTTATCTGCATCAATTGCTACATAGTTATCTACATCAGCACTGCTCACTTTTTAAAGCTGTCTTTAATTCAATGTAAAAATCCCATGCCTTTCTGGAGATGTAATAGCAATTATTTGGGATATTTTTTGCCTCCCTTTTCCTTGAAAAGTACTGAACTACAGGTTCTATCGAATCCATATTCCTACCAGCCATGAAGATTCATTCCAGCTTTACTTTCTATAGTTTCTACTACTAAGATAATAGTTGTCATGCTTTCCAGTCATAAAATTAAAATATAATACAAGATATGCTGTTACAGATTATAGTATATTTTCCTAGAGGTGTGGATAAGAGAATTTAGTGTGCCAAATAACAAAAGAAATGGAGATGAGGAATTCAAATCTCCAACATCCCATCTTTCTCAGTTGAAGGCAACATATTTCAATCTTTTATATCCAAGGGGCTTCTCCTAGAGAATTCATTTGAAGGAAAAAAATACCTCCATCTCTAGGAGATGTGAATACCACTGAGAGACAAGTAAATCTAATTTTCAGAGGGAACATTTCTGGCATGAAATATTTCCTTAGTCATCACACTCAATTGCTACTGCTAAAATTCCATTGATATTTTAAGGCCCTTTTTAAATGTCACCTTCTTGATGAGTTTTATTTCTTTGTTGCCCAATTATATGTGAATCCTCTCTATTTTGAATCCTAGAGTCACATGTTTCTTTTTCTCTTAAAGCACTCAGAAGACCTGTCCCTTAGTAAAGATATTTAGTCATCAGTTTAATTTCAAGTATATGGAAAGTTCAATGGTAGAAGGCCCACCACACATGCATGTTATCACCCAGGTGTCCAATCACACGCTGCTGGTTCACCTGTCTTGAAAAGAAATTATTAAATCTTATATAGTATCTCTTCACAGTTAAGTTTTTCTTTCAAAATGCTTCTCTAAGAAAACCTAATTGTTAAAAACACTTGTCTGAATAGTTTTTGATTACGATTTTGTTCCTATTAAAACTTGATTAGATGAGTGGCTTATTAACACAGAATTTCAGTTTGTTGATACTGTTACCATATAAATAACTGTTGATCTATGATTTTAAAGTCCTGATTAAATAAATTATCATACAATATTAATAATTACATTGCACAAATGAGAGAATTCCTATTTTTCATTAGTAATTTCTAACTTATTTATCTGGCAATCAGTGGCATCATCTTAAAACATGGTAGCATAGTGGTGAAAGACCTGTATGACAACCAAAAAGTCTGTGGTCCATATCCACCAGACACTCAGCAAGAAAAAGACATGGTAATCTGCTTCCAAAAGGATCTACAGCTTTGGACACCCTATATAGGGAAGTTCTACTCTGTCCTTACAGGGTCTTTATGAGTTCGAATCAACTCAGTGGTGATAGGTTGGTATTTTTGCTTTATTACACAATTCATTATAACTAACTTTTTTTTTTTTTTTTTATTTTAAGAAGGGTTTAATAGGAGCTTTGGTAGCATGGTGCCTAAGGCACTTGACTGCTAACCAGAAAGCTGGTGGTTCAAACCCACCAGCCACTCCTTGGAAGGAAGGTTGGGCAATCTACTTCCATAGTGATACCTCCTCGGAAACCCAAAGAGAGGTCCCTATGAGTCAAGTCCGACTTGAGGGCAGATAACAACAATAGAGTTTTAGAAAAAAAAAGAATCTTACTGGTTTGAGAGGATGTGGGCAAGACTGTGACTTGAGTGTGTATATATGTGTGTGTATATATATATATATATATATATATACATACACACACATATATACACATAAAAATGTATGGCAGTCAAACACACACATCTGAAACAGGGGTTTATGTTACTGGAAAATAGAATTTGCTTAAATCTACTTATCTTAGTAAACATGTTTTTAAAATATGTAGAGACATTTGAGAGGTCACAGACAGTGAATTTTGATTATGAAGATACCATAAGATATGGCAGTTAATACACACAAAAAAAGTGCTATAAAGTATATGTACATTTTTGGAAAATAGCTATAGCTTGAGTCAACAATGGTAATTTCAGTTAAAGATTTATTCAACTCATGTGCTATAAATAACATGTGTGAACAGAAGAAAAGCCTTTTAAAAATTAAGCAGCTTTTGTCACAAAAATATTCCTCATTCACAGGCAGCATTTCTTTAATTTATTTTGGCATATGGATTTTGAGGTTATGTATTAAAAAATCAATAATTACTGAAGTCTCAATGTTCTGATGGCTTAGCCAAACCAAAAGCAAACTCACTGCTGTCAAATTGATTCCAACTCATGATGACCCCCATTGGGTTTCCAAGGTGGTAAATTTTTACAGAAGTAGATCGTCCTATCTTCCTTCCATGAAATGGCTTGTGAGTAGACAATTATTTATATATACAATTACTTACTGTATATATATACAAAGGATGCATGTGAACCAAGTCATTTCTGAAAGTTCTTCCTATTTACCCTCAAGCAATCTGAAAATCACAGCTGTGAGAAGGCACATAGAATTTTTCTGAGGCATAAATCAGTATACAAAGATATGGTAAATTATAAAGCCATTTCTTCCTACACATTCTTCATGGCTAAAATGAATCTCTTTTTGTTGCATTTATTCTATCACCCTAGAAAATCATCTACAGTACTGGTTGGAGCAGTCACTGTGTCCAACTTACAGCCAAGTATCAGAGAATATGTTACAATTTATTGGTCCTTTTGAGAAATGTCAAATGAACAGGGATGTAGTTGCAGGCAGAGCTATTCGTTTTGTGTGCACCACAGTTCTTCCACTGAGGAACTTCAGTGAAATATGTTGTTGTTAGGTGCCATTGAGTCAGTTCTAACTCATAGTGACCCTATGTATGACAGAACCAAACACTGCTTAAATACAATTTTCTACACTTGGGTAGCACATTGCCTAAGGTATCTGACTGCTAACCAGAAGGTTGGTGGTTCAAACCCACCAGCCACTCCGTGGAAGCAAGACTGGCAATCAACTTCTTATTGTCTCCCTTGGAAACCCAATGGGGGTCGCTATGAGTTAGAATCAACTCGATGGCAGTAGATTTTTTTTTAATGTTAAAATATATAAAGAGAAGAAATTATTAACCCAACAATTATCAATGACTAAAAAGCAAAATACTAAAAGTTAAATTCCATTATATCAGTGGTTCCATGGCTTTTAATGTTTTTGTGATAAAACAACAAAAAAAAGAAAATTTCAATAATAAAAACATAGCAACTTCATCTTTTTCCTTTGAAACCACATCAGAAAAGTCACCGTCTTTTTGCTTAGCTATGTTGTTGTTAGTTCCTGACTAGTAGTCTGTGACTCATGGAGATATCGCATATAACAGTACAAAATGTTGCCTAGTTCTTAGCCATACTCATGCTCAGCAGTAAGTTTGAGCCCATTGCTGTAGTCACTGTGTCAATCTGTCTTTGAGGGCTTCGCTCACCTTTGCTGACCTTCAAATACTATGTTCTATTCTAGAGATTGACCTTTCCTGATGAAGTGTCCAAAGTAAATGGTGAGCTGAAGTCTCCACATACTCACTTTCAAAGAGCATTCTGGCTATATTTCCTCCAAGACTGATTTGTTCATACTTTTGGAAGCCCATGGCATATTTATTATTTGTTGCTAATACCATAATTCAAACGCATCAATTCTTCTTCTGTCTTCCTTTTTCACTAGCCAGCTTTTTTAAGTCCCATAAAATGTTATACTAAATAAATCAACTTATACAAAGAGGCTTTTTTTTTTTTTTTTTAAATCAATGCCTTTCTTGTTGTCGTTGTTGTTTGCCGTCGAGTCGGCCCCAACTCATAGCGACCCCTCCTTGGGTTTCCAAGGCAGTATCACTACAGAAGTAGGATTGCCTAA